TTTAGTGTACCAAATGAATACATTTGGCGTCGGCGGCGGCCGGGCCTGTTGGTAATTCCTACTGGACGCACTAAATTATTGAGTGAGGCTCCACTGACGCGTGCATTGCGCACAATCAACAGAATTAATGAAAAGACGGACTTATTCGTTTGTGCTCTGAGCGAATTCACAAAACAAGCTGAGTGGATAATCGGTTTCAATTAATTATTTATTTTTCCAATGTGTTATATTATGTGTGTTTAGGTGTTATATTTATAATGTATTTCTTAAATGGATGTATCTGTTGCCTTGGGTAAATACCTGTAATGATAGATATAAGTATTTGATATAAATAAGTAAATAAATAAATAAATAAATAAATAAACATTTTGACATTATCCAATGGTGAGTAGACAAGGGACATTAAATAATAAAATATGGAAGATGTAATACAACGTTTAATCGGCGATGACAGACTGCCTCATTCACAACTTTTATTATTCGTTTAACCACAATACAAATATATAATAGTACAATTCATGAATTTTGTACTAAATGTAATAATTTAAAAAAACGTGCAATTGACTGGTAGTTACTTTCTAGAGAACTGGTACGTGTAAAAGTTTTGCAAATAAAGCATGCAAGTACGCAAATTGCATGGAAGTTTAACTTTCTCATTTATCCACAATGTGCTATACCTAGCGAACTGCTAGTAACTTGCACATGCAGTTAAGTAACATGTAAGCCGATGTAATTTTTTACATGCATGTCCACTGCCGCTTGTATTTTATACAAAAAATATGCGAACAGAGATCAGTTTTCCAATAGCAACACCATCGTGGCAATAATATTAGCAGAGTCCTAACTGTCTACTAAAAAACCTGGCAAAAAGCATGTAATACAATAAAATCATTTATAATGATAAAATAAAATTGTTATAAATTTAAATTAATAATTCAAATAATTAATATAAAGGAATTCGGCAACATTAAATATTCACTTGTCTCAAAAACATGTACTTTTGATAATTTAAAGTCTACTCTGCCCTCTGATAAATATTAAAATGTTGCTTAAATTTGACTGTACAAAGGTAGCATAATCAGTAGTCTCTTAATTGGTAACTTAATAGAAGATTGGATGAAATCTTACCGGTGTAGATTCTAGCATGATTTTCTAAACTTAAGTAGATGGTTCATAAGTGGTAGTCGGTTTCCAGAGGTTCATTATAATATGAACAGATACTTTTAATTTTTATTTATCACCGATTAATTTTACATCGTGTTTAAAAATTTACCAATTTTGTAAGAATGCCAGCCACCCAATCGTAAGTTACGTCATATTTTTAGTGTGTGGCACCTTATAACGTCAACTCAATCACTATGGTAAATGTCAATCAGTCCAGTCATGCATAATATTCATGAAATCGTGGTGAATATAGTATACCAATTTATGTTCGATTCTTCTTAAAATAAAATACCCTCAAAATACCTAATTATGAAAGATGAGCAGAATAATTATCACTGTTTTAGTTACCTATTAATTAGAATATATTTGATGCTTTGGCAATAAAAAATATAGATAAATAAACTTGTCATTTGCAAATCAGTTATATAATATCATATAATAAAAAAAAAGAATAATCAAATAGTATATAAGCAAATATAAAAAAAATAAATAAAGTAAAGAGAAAATAATAGAAAAAAAAAAATGAAAAAAATGAAAAAAAAAAATGAATAAATGAGCAATAGTAGTCCACGCCAGTTTATTGTTCTTTTCGTTTATTTTGCATCTAATTTTGTTTACTAAGGTTTGGTTTAGTCTCTCATTCAATCCATTTGAAAATGGCGCATTAACTGCGGTGAAGATAATAGTTATGTTTTCCTTATTTAAAAAATCTTTAAAGCTCTTTGAATTTATACCTGGATATTGATCTGATAGAATCATGCCAATCTTATTTCCAAACTGCGTTACCTTTTGAACTAGCTTTATAAAATCATTGGCGCTTTGAGTTTTCGATGTTAAAATATAGGCATATCTTGTGAAGTGGTCCACGAGAAGGTGCAAATATGTTTTTGTAGAACGTGTGCCACCAAATCCACCAATTGTATCAATAGATATTATTTCAAATGGGTAGGTAGCAGGACCCAAATGAGACATTAGTCCATATTTATATTTACCTCTTGTTTTATTTTTTATGCAGATTTCACATTCTTCACATATCTTCTTTATATTATAAGTCATGTTTTTCGCTGCATAAAAAGGAGTAATTTTATTTTTCAATTGTTGAATTCCAATGTGACAGTAAAGATAATGTATTTTTTTTATAAAGTCTCTACTAAATTCTTCTGTTAGTACTATCTTTGTTTTTTTCCCTGTTTTTTTATAGTAAACTGTATCTTTCAATTCAAAAGCTTTCTTATTTTGTTTTATATCTTCATTCCTTTGTTGGTCATTTTGAATCTCTTCCATTTTAATAACATTTACAAGTCTTAAATTATCGTCTTGATTTTCGTCTGACTCTAACACCGGATTTCTACTTAAGCTGTCTGCTTCAATGTTATATTTTCTTGGAGAATATATTATCTCAAAATTAAATTGTGAAAGGTAGTAAGTAAGATCTCCTATTTCGTCGTCCGTTCTAGCTTTTATATTCATTTTTTCCAAGGGCTTGTGATCAGAAAAAACCTTAAATCTTAACCCAATCAGCCAGTGCTGCCAATATTTTATTGCTTCTTTTATTGCCAAGCACTCCAGATAGATAGCTTTTTTCTTTTTCTGTATGTTATTCAGTTTTCTTGAAAAATATGCAACAGGATTTTCCTCTCCATTGTTTTGTGGCTGTTTTAAGACAGCGCCTATACCCTGTATGCTAGCGTCCGTGTAAATATGTATGGGGAGATCTGGATCAAATATTTGTAAAATAGGTTTCTGGCAAAGTAATTCTTTAATTGTTTCAAAAGCTTCATGACATTTTTCTGACCAAACAAAATTTTAATCCGATACGGGGGTATTGGGGTGCGTTCTGTTAGTGATGTGAGTCTCCCGGCTTTCTTGGCCTCGGCCCATGGGATTTCGGGCCTTGTAGCTAATATTCTGTCTATGAATGGCGACAAGGTGACCGTACCGTTTGCGGCCGATGCTTTGGCAGCCTGGTTAGCTCTCGTCCCGGGTGCAGCCGTGCCTAGGAACCCCGAGTTCCAGCGCTCATGGGACGACGTTAATTGTAAAGCGACACTTGAACTGCTTACTGGTGGTGCCACGGGAGTCGATCTAGCGAGGATTTTGGCGGTTTCACAGCCTGAATCCGGGGCGTGGCTGCACGCGTTACCTTCGCCTCATATGGGCACTTTACTTGACGGTGACTCTTTGCGGGTGGCGGTCGCCCTCCGCTTGGGCTGCGATGTATGTCAACCACATGTATGCATCTGCGGTACCATGGTGGGGGCTGACGGCCATCACGCATTGAGCTGCCGTCGATGTACAGGCAGACACCCACGTCACCATGCTCTAAATGACATAGTGTTGAGAGGTCTTAGGTCGGCCGGCGTTCCTTCCGTCCTCGAACCACCTGGTCTCAGCCGCACAGACGGAAAACGGCCTGATGGTCTTACATTGGTACCGTGGGAGAAGGGACGATGTTTGGTGTGGGACGCGACGTGTGTCAGCACTTTCGCCGCTACCCACATCGGCCGCACGACACGCAGGGCTGGGGCGGCGGCTGAGTATCAGGCAACGGCGAAGCGCTTAAAATATTCCTCGTTGGGACAAGGATATATTTTCGTGCCTTTGGCGGTGGAAACGGCGGGTTGTTGGAGCGCAGAGGCCAAGCAATTTGTGTGGGACCTGGGCCGCCGACTCAGGCAAAAAACTAATGACCCTCGCTCCGGGTCGTTTCTGGCACAAAGATTGTCTATTGCCATCCAGCGTGGCAATGCTGCAAGCATAATGGGCACCTTTGCGCCAGAAACGATACGGGGTGATATTTGAATATTATTAGTATTTGTATATTATTCTTGTACATAACGTTAATTTTAGTTATTATATTATATTTTTAAGGTTTTTAGTTTTAGGTTCATTGTTACAACTTTATAAAAAAAATACAGATAAAATAAATTCAATTTTTTCGTCAAGCGATTTACAATTAAGTGCACTACCTCTCATAAAAATTAAGAGTCTGCCTCACTAACACCCTCCATACAAATTTGAACCGTCTACTTTAACATCAGTATCTCCATTTTATTAGTATACATAGAGAATGACAAGGATATACTGTTGTCAAATTTAAGTTAGGGTTTAGAGAATCCTGCCAGAATCGACACCATTGTCTGTATATAAATATATATTTGTTTTATTAAAAAAATACTATTATTTTAAAATAAATATACAACACAACAACAAGCCCATACAGTTTTATATATTTATACGTTAATTAAAATTATATATAAATAATAATTATATACATTACAATCAAATTAAACATTATATTGAATTGATAGAAAAATTGGATTACCTTTTTTATGATAATTAACATAAATAAGTGGATCAATATATGATCCAAAATTTTTGATTTTTGTTTAATACGTCATAATTTTCACACAAAAATGAGATCCTTTGAAACAATAGGACACTGATAGCAATTAAAAAGGTTTAATAAAAATCTATTTAAGTACTTACAACCATTTAGAAAACGCAGTCTAATTGAAGTTACAATAGAATCTCTCGAAAAAGTTTTTTTTTCTATTTATATTAAACCATAATTAATGTTCATATTTCTCCTACGATATCGTTCGCAGTGAATGTCGTTGAGAAGGGTTAGAGAGGTCAAATTAAATCAACAAAATTGGTGTACACCTATGACTTTGTCTGCGTTTAGGATAGCTATCTGGACCACCGAGATGTTATGATATAAATATTGTACATCATAGATTGCAGACACGTAAAAGCAGGCGTTTTTTAGGCGTTTTCTCCTTCCGCTATGAACTACAGCATACGATGTGTACAAGTTTGCGAGCCATTCCCCGTTAACGTCGTGAACTTGAAGATGGTTCGTGATCTAAAGCAAGAAATCAAAATACAAAATAAATCAATGACAAATAAAGATACGTATCAAACTAGGGAAATGGAGGCCGGTAGCGATGTCACTGATCAGATCTTAGAAGCCCTCCAGACTAGCGTCATTCCAAGATGATGTCGTCGTGTTGTCGTCAAAGTTTTTTGCGGACAACTACAATGCAATACAAAATGGGTAACATGCGCCCGGGACTTCACTTGGATATTCGTATTTGCTATTTGTAAACTTGGCAACAGTCTGTTCTTGTCATGCGTTATGGGTCAATTTAAAATCGGTTGCAGAAAAACGTGACAGAAAATTATGATTCCAAATTAAAAAAAGAGTTTTTAATTTTAAATGTATAGGTGCGCATATTATGTAAATAATCTTGCCAAATGCATTTTCGTTCTTGGCCGCGATCTCTTGCCGCTTTTTTCAGATTTTCAGATAATAACATAGTGAAAGGTAAAGAAAAATAGCAACTGTGTTACCATCATATATTTATTTATATTAAAAAAACAAACAATTGTTTTTGTAAACCTTCTTTGGAGTCAACACTAATAAAGTCTTTATTCTCATGTTCCACATGCAAAATCACAATATGTATTCTTATGTATTTATAATAATTAAAGTTAAATAAACTCTGTTACTTTCTATGTTTTGTAAATATATTTTTTTCTATAAATTACTTAAATTGACTTAAATTATAAAAATATAGGCATGGTATTGTGCATTAATTAGAATAGTGTATAGGGGATATATAAAACGTCGATTCAAATATCAGCTCTTCATAAAATTATTAACTTTACTCTTAAATATTTAGGGACATAAAAGTAACAGAGTCGTAGAAACAGCAACATAGTTGTACTTTTACAACGAAATTATGCACTATTATCACAATACTTTTTGATTTTGGCTAGAAAAGTTGAAGTATATTTAAAAACTTAACTAAATAATAAAAATAAAAAAAAACATACATTTAAGCTATACTGAGATCAAATTAAACATCAACTGAGATGTTATTTTTCAAATATTTCTAGAGGAGAAGGGAATTTGTAATATACTCTTTTACCCTTAATTACTTTTTGAGGTTCGGAAACAATTTTTAGTAGACTCTCATATTGTTCATATGATACATCATTTTCAATTAATTTGAATATCTTTGCAGTATCATCAACAGACTTCAAGTACACTATTTTTACTTCGCCGTCATCGTCTACTTCGCTTAATGCTTTGCCAAGATAAATGTATTCATTTTTAGAACTGCAAATTTTAACTAAAATGTAAACACCTGCTTTGACTTTACTTGGATGAATATTTTCCTTCTCAATTAAGTCGTTGTTGTCTTTTTTTTCTTTTGACAGGCCGGGTTGATCAAATGATCTATTTTTTAATTCGGTTAATGGAATATTGTCACCGGATTCCGAGCTTGAATTGTATATAACATTATATATAGATTTTCTTTTATGTTCAATAAAATTAGTTATATCCGCTAAAGTTGCGGAATTGCTGTCTTCAGATTCTTCGACCGTATCCTTTAATGGAGAATAATTTTTCGGGCACATACAGGAGCAGAAACCACGTTGGCAAAAACAGCTTAATTCTCGATACTTCAGCGTTCCCACTTCTTCTGTAAACACTTGATGTACCTTCATTGTACCATACAAAGGCACTATTTGTGCTGGAACTTCTCTCGCAATTTTTTCAATGTCTTCATCAGTTATAAGGTACATTTTCACTTTACTACTGTCTTTCAGAATCTGATAAAATGAAGCCGCATCAGAAATGTCTTTGCCAATGGCAACAAGTTGGTCAGCAGTCCGTTTAAGGAAGCCACCAACACCATCAGCTGCTCCTTTACCGTGTCCCGCCTCAAAGAAGTTCCACGTAGCTTTAGTAAAGTTGTAATTTGAAAATAGTCTTGTGCATATTAGGTAGAAGTTTTGTTTCTGACGGTATTGAGTTGCGGGTCCATCAGAAAATATGTGTATTGATTTTACTTTAGGAAATCGGTCTTGAATTGAGGTAAGTATGGGGTGAAGGTGACTCCAGATTGCCGGAGGACCGTGAGATAGGTTGCTCGATACTGTGCAAAAAGACTCCACTTCTAAGTTTTGATTTTGTGAGCTTCGATTGTACAATACACCAGTATGTAAGGATACTTGGTTACGCGAACTACCAAAGTGATGTGATTGTATCTCTTCATGTAACTTGCAATTGTAATTCTCACTGAAATCTACATGTAGGGCTATTTCCTCTTCGGTCAGTCTATCTATACACGCTCGGTAGTTTTTATATTGAGTTTTTATGTTATATACGTGTCTTTTGAAATTTTTGAGAGTCTCTTCAAATGCATCTATCAAATTATCTACTTTACTTTTCACCTCTTCTTTAATATTCTTCGTAACTTTCATTTTCTTTCCAGACTTTTCTACAATCTCCGTTTTTCTTACCCACTGAGGATAGCTCACTAGGAGGTCGTTCTTTGTTGTATCATACTTCAGTTTAGTCTGTTGACAGTTGAAGCAGTTTCCTGACATGCATGCCAATGAATCCACATCGCAAACTTCTTGTTGAATAATCGTGTTCAAATCAGATGTAGGAATTATTTTGTTTCTAAAAAGAGCAGCAGAAAGGTACGATATGTTAGTGTGTAGCCGGCATAAACATGTTTCCCTTGCATCAACAGATGGAGGTTTTACATAAAATGGTCTGTTTAAAGTGAAACTACTATAACAACATTTTTGTTCGGGATTTTCTCGCTTGAACGAATAAAATAGATTCTTCATATTGTCGAGCAGATAGCGTTTTTGCATTTTGGACTTTTTGAAACTTACTGTTTCCTTTTTACCTGCTGTGGCCCTAGATACGTCATCTCGGTTGAAAAATTCGTGTAATTTGAATTTAAGGATGTTTGTTCTTTGCTTTGGTGTATGCTTTCTAAAGTAACCCTGATTAATATCTAAGCAGTCTTTGATTATTTGCACTTTCTTTCTTGATTTCGTTATACTATCTTCTTTAAATATATTATGTATAATGCGTCTCTCCTTTAAACTTTTCATTTTCTTATACCGCTCTTTAATAGCATTTGATAAGACATCATAACTATCATTGGGGTTGCTGATTGTAAGTTCTTTTTTCACGGCTCTATTGTATCTTTTTTTGTACTTTTCATACTTTTTTTTCATTTTCTGTAATTCTTCCTTGAATTTTAGATTTTCTCTTAATAGTTTCGATCTGTCTCTTTTTACTTTTTTTCGACCTCGAGCTTTTGCAGATATGTTAGGACTTGCACTACCGTATCTTGGAGTCGGTGGCTGAGGAGTTGATAGTCGACGAGCCGTGACAAATCTTGGGGAAAAATTACGTGAAATCATATCTGAAGGTGGTGGTGTCTCAACTCCAGGTGTTGATTCTGGCATATGCATAATTATTCGCAGCGCTCTTTGGCGATCTCTTCTTTTGGCATTCGCAACTCGCCACTTTTTTTTAGACACTCGATGCTCGCGTGGAGTCATATCTTTTACCAAGCGTTTCTTTGCATGATAGCGCTCTAAATCCTTTCTCTTTGCTTCTGCAACCTTTTCTGGATTTAGTTTACGTTTTTCTCTATAGCGTCGCTGTTTTTCAGCTGCTGTGAGAGCCATAGTGAAGTATTATGTATTATCTAGAACAAATTATGTAAATTTATTACATTATAAAATATTATATTGACTCATAGTCATATACAAGCACCGATACAAACACAACAATGAAGACCATAGCTTCTAACAGTTTAATAATGACAACTCTGTTACTACTCTACAACTCTGTTACCATCACCTAGTAACATAGTTGCGTAGTAACAGAGTAGTATTTTTAACGATTACTAATGGTTAATTATTAAATGAAACATTACTATGACAAAGTAATAGCATATGAACTAATTTTTCCTTTAGAGATACTTTATAATTATAAAATTGTACAGAAATAATAAAATACTTACATAAAAAGGCTGGTAACAGAGCAAACACACAATAAAACCACGCGCCTCACACCGCAGCCAACGTTCGACTAAATCATGTACCCCGTGCCTCACCCCTCTCAAGCAGTGTCGCTACAACAGTGAACATTATGGCGACTACTATCGCGACCGAACACGGGGCGCCATCTCTTGGCATTTATTGAATTTACATGTTAACATAAGACACGCTTATTATTACAAAGACTGCGGGACAAAATTTAAAAAAATCATAGTTGGTTTAATAAATTTATTCAAAAGATATGAAATGTGTTTTTGAAAATGTTGTATTTGCTTCATTACAATATATTTTAAACAAAACAGTCATACGATTCGATCAAAAAATATTGTGGTTTTTCTATATTGCACTGAGTACAGGGACAGTTTTTTTTTGTTTAGAAAACATCTATGTTACCATTTAAGACTACTCTGTTATATGAAAAAAGTGTTTATTAATGAATAATTAAACTATTTTTTTAATGTAAAGTAATTAAAAAATCGGCCTTTTAACTAATACACCCCTATGATATTATAATATTTTATTAATATCTACGAGGAAAAAATTTCATTGCTCTGGGACGACATTTTCTGCCACCAATTTTAAATTGACCCTTATAAGGAATGATAAGAACAGACTGATGCCAAATAAATAAAACAAGTTTCAACGGGTTATATGCACTGATTTTATTTATTTATTGACGATCTGATTATGTAAGCAGTGTTTAAAAATTTGGAAAATACCCTATTTTAATTTTAAATTGAAATAATTAAATACCCTATTTTAATTTTAAATTAAAATAATTTTAATTTTGAATTGTAAAGATCCTCAAATGGTCATTAATAACTTTTTACATGTTCGAAATACAATACGAAATAATCGCTTTTCTAAATTAGAAAACTCATGCGGTCACTGGCACGACGACAACGCTCGAAAGACGCTAGTGTGGGAGTTAAGCTGCGTACACACGTGGCGGTAACATCAAAGAGTTTGAGTCGTTAAATCGAACTCAGTGTGGACGGTGGCCGAAGGCCAACATACGCTCAGTTGAAGCGAGAGAGCGTAGGTCTTAACCTAGAAATATTTCCCGCCTATTATAGAGAAAAGCAAAGTGGAGTCGAGTAATGATGAAATGTTTTTCTTAATTGAACTATACAAAGAAACCGAAGAAAAACGAAGAAACCAGCATGGTTGTCTACCATCTCCACTTTCATTTAATTTTTTCTTGTCCTTGCTAACTCGTTATTGTATATAAAACAAGCAATTCAAATTTTTTATCGTCGCACATGACGCGAATAAAGTTGCGAATGCAAGCCGGAATTCGGCCGGTGTATACGCAGCATTAGATAAGTCCTCGTCTCGCGGGGATTAAAGTACGATTCGATCTTTATGGCGGTTGTGAAATTAGCAGCGTAACAATGCGCAGGTTTCAGTTCAGTGTCAACCCGCGCGTCTTGCGCTAACTTCACAGCCGTTATTAAGTTTGAATCGCACTATACCAGGCAAACTAAAAGCGCAAGCAAACATGTGTCGATTATAGAGAAAAAATATAAATGAAGCGAATAAGAGCGCTCAAAACTATAAGAAAATGTACTAATACTAGTTACTTCAAATTCTCAGAAAAATAAAGCAATTTCTCAAATAAAATTTAGTAAAAAGATACTACTGTATACATATTCGATTATATTATAATATGGAGCGTAATGTTAATGAACAAATGAAATGATTCATTATTTTTGATGAAATAAAAGCTATAGTTTCTTAACAACGCTAATGAGAGAAATATCTAACACACATTTTTTAATGTGTTTAAGATTTACAATATTAAAGACTTTTAAAATCCATATTTATCATATTGATTTATTAGTGTATCTGTTACGGCTAATAGCCGATGTGCGGCTACACTTAGTTTTAGCCGGCTACAACTAGGTGCAGCCCGCCACATGCGGTAAACTTAGGTGTAACCTACATATCTTCGGTTACAACTAGGTTTAGCCTTCATTACAAAAAAAAAATCTTCATTAAAAATATGAGTAAATGTTTCCGAATGAAATAATAAAAAAAAAACAAGATCGGTAACGTAAAAACGAATAGTAAATAAAATGGTAAATCATGTCCATAGGTTTAGGTGTTCTTAGATCCAATACAAATACAGAAGGCTGATCATCAAAATGTAACTCTTCAAAGCTAGCAAAGAATATTATCAATGAGTATGGAAAGATGATAGTAGTCTCTTTTTCAAGAACAAAATAAAAATGATCGCTAAAAGCGAAGAAAGTTACACAATTATGCCCCTGGATACAGTGGTATCCAGTAAAATAAGTTCGAAACTTTAGAGACCGAATGGATAGTGATCCATTCGGTCTCTAAAGTTTCGAACTTATTTAGTAAGCATTTATAAGCTGGTCATGACACAAATTAATTCTAAATGCCCCATCAGCATTACATATTTTAGACTGATACCAAAGCCTTTTCGTGACAATGTTGGTATCTTCACGGGTCGTCAAGGAGGATATCAAAGTCGGCATCAAGGTCTGCTTCGAAATGAACGAGTGAACGTCGCGAGAGAGGGTGAGCAAAAATCATACGCATGGCTTCTATCTCGGCGGCATCGATGCTGTCGTCGCTGGAATCATCGGCAGGGCCCGCAGGGTCCGTTGTTGATACATCCGTAACTGGGCGATCCGTAGCCGGACGGTCCGCAACCGGAACCGGACGTTCTACAACCGGACGAACAGCAGCCGCACGAGCCTCTTCTGGTTGATCCACATGCGGTAACGCAGCCGGGCCTTCCCCGTCGTCCCGTTGATGCAAACGACGACCACGGTGCCTTTAGTAAAACAATCGATATTATAGCACAATTCTTACTTTATGGCGGCAGTGACGTTAGCAATGAACGCAACCTCAGAACAAGAACCAAAGCATAGCTAATTTCTGATTTTTTAAATATTTATTATAATAATACACAGTTTGCTAAATTTTATTGAAATATATGCCTATTAAAATGATAAAAGTCCTATGTAAATTTTCATAAATCCAATTTTATTTTCAAAAATGTTTCCAAAATGCCTACCCGTGCATTGGCTAATGACCTTTCATCATACTACTACTATGTTTACACTTTGTATCGCTATTCGTTGGCCATACTTAGTCTATGCTATGCGAAAGTGGAGGGTCGTTACTGGATGATACTACTAGTGGATAAAGTCGACTCATATATCGTTATCTTATTTTAACATATGGGCCAAGAAAGGTACAAATATTCCTATGAGGTTGCTATGACCAGTGTGCGTATCGTTATACAAATGTTAAATTGGATATTTTTTTGCCTTTACGATACCTAATTAAATATCTAATGTCAAATGCAACCTGCCAATACGCCACTCATACTTCTTGGTTGGGTAATAGGTATAAAGTACGGCCAACGAAAAGCGATACAAAAGTTCATTCACCTTAGACGAGGACTGAGAGTCTATAGTCTGTTTTAAACGAATTTAGACCAAAAGTAAAGAAAGAGATAGGTAAGTCTGGCCATAGACAGTTTAGTGATGGGGTTTCAAAGAACCTTATCAAAATCAATTGATCAATGGAATGAGCATATTCTTAGAAATTGTTAAAGATCTATAAGTCTTAATTTGTAGCATTAATATATTTTTTCCTCATTACTCAAAACATATCTCCGACTGTTAACTGTATTTAGCAATATAGTTAATTTTATTTCGTTAGTTTTTTTTTAATGATTGGTTTGCGTAATTATTACAGATCGATGCATAGTTCATGAACAATCTAGGTTTGATTTTAATCATAGATTAAAGATTTAATATTGGGATCGGCTGTTAGTGTCTATCATGATACTCACTCTTGGACTAGAAAATTCGGCCTTATTGAAGAGAAAAGGTTGATGAGGGCCGAATAGAGGTTCGGCTCCCGGCCGGCGAGGTCGCTCTCGTCGCGGCCGTACCCGTAACGATTGACGCCGTCAGAGGGCGGTATCGGATCCCAAGCCCGCGTGGGCAAAATTAACGGCAAATCCTGATTATCGACCAATAAAAACACGTGTAAGTATTTATTATATTACCAAATAAATAAAATAAAATAAATATTTCCTACACTCACACCAATTACCCTAGCCCCAAAATAAGCACGGTAGGCTTGTATTATGGGATACTAGGGTAATGGATAGAATACATATACTAATACATATATAAGTATAGAAATACGTATTAAACATCCATGACTGGAGTACAAATGCTCGTATTCAAAACACAAACATCTGCCCGCACCGGGATTCGAAACCGGGACCCCTCGAGTTGGCGACACCTTGAAACCAGGCGTATAATCCACTCTGCCACCAACTTATCCTGCATACTTATAATCGTGTTTTGGCTGGCGCTGTCCCTAGCTTGGCCTTGCTTGGGTAAGTTGAATTCATTCTAATGTAAATTTTCTTTAAGTTTTTCAACAGGTATAAAGCAAGATTTATATAAAAGTTAATAAATCTTGCTTTATACCAAGACATTTTTGGCGTTTCGCTTCCTTTTTTACAGGCTCCGTCGCAAACCTGAGCAAAACGCAAAACTAAGCTGATTAATTGATTGATTTAACCCGTTAAAAAACTTAAAGAAATTTTTCATTATAAAAATTCAAAAAATTCAATTCAAAATTCAACTTGTGAATGTCGAAAAGCTACGCCATCGGTTCGCAAATCTACGGCGGGAGACCTTGTACTGAGAAGAACCGGCAAGAAACTCAGCAAGGGCTGTTTTTTTCTCCCTGTATTATATACAGAGTCGTCAATTTGAAAAATGAGTTCAATATGAGATAACCCATGAAATCACTTTCCATTACAAATGTAAATGATAAAACAATTATGACTATAAAATAAAAAATATAAAAAACAGATTTAAAAATGAAAAAAAGTTTAGGAATGCCGTGTCCCACTGTTTAGGCATAAAAACAAATGTACCATTAAAGTTAAATACAACGATTAATAGTACCCAATGTAGCAAGAGCAGACTCATCTCCGCTGGCAGCACCCGTTCACGAGCATGACGCATGAACCAGCCATCGCTTCGCTCAACCATTTTTTAGGGAACGTAACGACCCGCCTCACACGACACCGCCGAAGAGATTTTTAAGAGAGTATGACTACCCATAACCACATATGGATACTAGATAGCAAAATAGGGAAAAAAAAAATTAAGTACCAGTGTACATTACTATAAAAAACTATAAACACAACTGTAGGACACATGCATGTGGTTACCTAAACACTAGTGTCGACTCTGCCACTACCCTCCAAACCCAAAACCAAACCCAACATCAGTGCCCCCCCCTTCACTCTGTATAGAGAATGACAAGGATACACCGCTGCAAAACCAAAGTTCAGGTCTAGAGAACCATGCCAGAATCCACACCACCATTAAATCTTTATCTCAGAAATAATAAATGTTCACCTAATTTTTTTGTTTCTGATTGCTGTGCCATACAGTATAAATACAATTACAAATAAAATTTAACTTAAATAATTAATTATCATTATAATAATAATAAAGTAGTATAGAGCAGACTCATCTCCGCTGGCAGCACCCGTTCAGGAGCATGACGCATGAACCAGCCATCGTTTCGCTCAACCATATTGTAGGGAACGCAACGACCCGCCTCACACGACACCGCCGAAGAGATTTTTAAGAGAGTATGACTACCCATAACCACATATGGATACTAGATAGCAAAATAGGGAAAAAAAAAAATTAAGTACCAGTGTACATTACTATAAAAAACTATAAACACAACTGTAGGACACATGCATGTGGTTACCAAAACACTAGTGTCGACTCTGCCACTACCCTCCAAACCCAAAACCAAACCCAACATCAGTGCCCCCCCTTCACTCTGTATAGAGAATGACAAGGATACACCGCTGCAAAACCAAAGTTCAGGTGCAAACAAATACAAAACAAATTTACAGTTACAGCCATGCAGTTTTGTCATTTAAGTATTCTTTAATAGTATAATAGCCTTTCTTAAGTAAACAATTTTTAATGTGACCCTTGAACTCATTTATGGGTAACTCAAGAATGGCATCAGGAATTTTATCATAAAAATGTATACCTTGACCCATAAAAGATCGGTAAACCTTCTGTAACCTGTAGGGTGGCAATGCAAGCTTATTTCTATTCCTTGTGTTAAAATTATGCACGTTACTGTTTTTGGTATACAAATTGATATTATTTTTAACGAGGAGTATACAATTGTAAATGAATTGAGAAGCAACAGTCAAAATGCCGATTTCTTTAAATTTTTCTCTAAGAGATGTTCGGCTACTCAATTGATAAATAGATCTCACAGCTCTTTTTTGTAGAATGAATATACTTTCAATATCAGCTGCTGTTCCCCAGAGTATAATGCCGTATGATAAGATACTATGAAAGTAACTAAAATATACAGTCCTGGCAGTTTCTGTATCAGTAAGTTGTCTTATCTTTCTTAAGGCATAAGCTGCTGAACTAAGTTTACCAGCCAAAAGCGTAATGTGATGATTCCATTGCAGTTTTGAGTCTATAGTTATACCCAAGAATGTAGTTGAGTCTACTAAATCTAATTTATTATTATTTAATTTAATTTCAATATGTTCGACTTTTAAATTAGGTAAAGAAAATTTAATACACTTGGTTTTATTAGCATTTAGCTTTAGATTATTAACATTAAACCATTGCAAAACTTGCGAGAGAGCATTATTAACATCGTCATAGTTGTTCTTGCGCCTGTCAACGTTAAATAATAAAGATATGTCATCAGCAAATAATACTATCTCACACAAATTTTCTACAAAAAATGGCAAATCATTTATATATACTATAAACAGAAAGGGACCCAAAATTGAACCCTGGGGAACGCCCATTTCCACATGAGATCCAGATGATCTAACACCATTTACCTCTACAGTTTGAATTCTGGAACTGAGATACGACTGTATTAATTTATATGCAGTACCTTTGACTCCATAATGACTTAATTTCAATAACAGCGTGTGATGATCAACGCAATCAAAAGCTTTGGATAAGTCACAGAACACTCCAAGAACATTCTGCGACCTCTCCCAAGCCTCCAATATACTCCTTACAAGTGCAACACCCGCGTCAGTAGTAGATCTACCTCTGGTAAAACCAAATTGTTTCCTATGCAAAAGTTTATTTAGGTTGAAATGAGGCATTAATTGTTCCAGAATAATTTTCTCAAATATTTTACTTAGAACCGGTAATATTGATATAGGCCTATAATTTCCAGGTTCACTTCTATTTCCTGATTTAAAAAGAGGTATAACTTTACTGTATTTCATCAAATCCGGAAATACGCCTTGATCAATACAGTTATTAAATATATCAACTAGATAAGGGGCAATAACGGGTATTATACTTTTAATAACTTTAGTAGAAATACCCCATAAATCACTTGTATTTTTTTGTTTAAGAGATTTAAAACACTTAATAACATCAATAAAACTAATATGTCTAAACTGAAACACGTTATCACACTTAGGTACATATTTCTCGAGCAATGTCTTGGCAGCCACCGTTGAAGAGCTCAAATTAGATGTAGTCACCAAAGGAACATTAACGAAATAATCATCAAAAATATTAGCGATATGTTCCTTAGATTTTATTAGAATATTATTGGACTTAATTTCAATAATATCGTCACGTGGCCTTTCTTTGCCTGTTTCACGATTTATAACATTCCACGTTGTTTTGATTTTATTATTCGATTTACATATTTTATTTTTAATAAAATTAGATTTGGCTGTTGCACATACCTTTTTGAAGGTTTTAGAATAACATTTAACGTAATCAATAAAACTTTGTGAATGATTATATTTTCTCAGATGATACAATTCATAAAGTTTGTTTCTACTTTTATAGATACCAGTCGTAGCCCAATCACAGAACTGTAACTTCTGAGTAAGTTTCGAAGTTTTTAAGGGAAAAGCCTTATCGAATTCATTCCTTATTAGATTAAAAAGATCCCCAAAAAGAATATCAGGATCATCATGTGTCCATGGGATATGAGAAATCCTATCATCAATGTTTTTTTGAAAATTTTCTAACCTGTTTTCTGTTACTGGTCTCAATTCAATTACTTTGGTTTCATTTTTTACATCTATTTTATATTGTATTTTTAAGCCATAATGGTCAGATGTAATACTATTAAAAATAGACTTACTATCAGGAGTACTATCTGTAAATACATTATCCAAACAAGTTGCCGAATGTGATGTCACCCTAGTCGGCTCAAAAAATTGATGGATCAAATTAAAACATTTAAATAGTGATATTATACGTACTGACATTGAATTTTGTTCAAGAATATTAATATTAAAGTCACCGCAAACAACCAAAAACTTATTTTTTGACTTTAACTTTTTCAGTACATCCTCCATTACAGATTCAAAAATGTTAAAGTTACCTACAGGGGGTCGGTATACGCATACTATTATCATCTTATTTAGTTCCACACAAGATAGCTCAATGCTACGTTCAATTGAAAGGCCAGCTATATCCTTTCTATCCTTACATCTAATATTTTTGTTGACAAAAATCAATGAGCCGCCGTGTATGGCTGTCTTTCGAACATAAGCACTCAACAACTGAAAATTGTTTATGTGATAAGACATTTCACAAAGCTTGAGCCAGTGTTCCGTTAAACATATAATGTGTATGTCCTCACTTTTCGAATACAATTCTAATTCTAGGTCTTTGCCAGCCAAACCTTGTATATTTTGATGAATAATATTAATAATGCTTTTATTAGGTTTGGCTGTTGTCTTTAAGCTCAGTTTAAAACTGGGCTGGTTAAATTGTTAATAGAGTTAATATTTCTTTTACTAGAAATACTAACACTATTTTGTTGAATAGGGTTAGTTATACCATGTATAACCGTATTTTGTATATTAAAAGCTAACAAATTAGCTATCTGGGTCCTAAATCTCTTTGCGAGATACATAGTATCTGTAGTCAACTTAAAATATCTAATATATTTATTTATATCAAAATATAAACATATGTCACTATGACTATTAATTAAATTATAAATATTTAAATTTAAATTAAAGATGCGCTTGTTCTGTTCCCTAGATAAGTTATGTGCATATGGGAAAGCGCTAATTATTATTTTACAATTTGATTTAGATTGTATTTTTAATAAGTGCTCAATACTTTTTGTAATGTCCCGTATTGATAATTTGGAACTGTCACCACACAAAAACAAGAGGTTCGTATAACTATCCACATTATGGTAGGTCAAATTATTAACAATGTCATTAAATGATTTTCCAGGAGTACATATATTTATAATATTTTCCTCGCTGTAATTTTTTACTAATAGTCCTAGCCCCTGACCTAACTTGTCTGAGAATATAATTGTTTTATTTTTATTCAACTTTGAGTTTTCAGAAAGCGCTGGCTTGAAAGGAGAAATATAATTAATTCAACTTTACCCAAGCACAAGCTAGGGATAGCGCCTACCAAAACGCGCTATAATAAAGCAATTTATCGCTATGTAAAATTATTGAATCTAATTTATAATTTCTATTTCGCAATTATTTATTATTTACTCAATAATGACTAAATAAAATACAACCCAGACCAGCTCATATTTGAGTAGCTTAAAACATCTCTCGCAAAAAGTAACATTTTGATATACAATAAGTAAACATAACTAAATTATGATTATAATAATTACCCATTTTGTAGTTTAATAAAAAAACTCACCCATTCCACAAGAAGATTTGACATCGGGCGTACAATGTGCATATGCCGACGAATTTCGTTAGGGCAATCAGCGAACAGTCTTTTGGTTTTAATGTTGCGTTCTATCAAAGTCGCCTAAAAAGCGAATAATTGTTTTGAAAAATTATGAACAAAGAACTCTCAAAGGCGATACTAGACACTCTATCCATCTCGCTCTTCGATGACAGGAATAATATGCGAGAGGGACAGAATATATAGCGTCAATAGGGCGCGAGTTAATTTATCTAAATCATGAATGTGAGCCGAACATAGATGAGAGTATAAGATAAAAAGAATCAAAAATCAACTTTGAAAGACTGCTCATAATTTAAATAATATTGAAACATAGAATATACCGCTAACTGACCCTAAACCTAGCAACAAATTAGTATGGTCAGTTAGTTTTATTAAGGATTATATGCATAATACAATGCCGAGAACAAAAACTATAGTCTACACCGAAGCGAAGCGAGGACTGGTCACTATAGCTTGACCGCAGTAAAGTCGATCCTCCTGATGGTCCGCGCCACGCGGGGCGGCGCACAGTGGGCGGAAATGATCAAAACTACACGCGATTCAGTAAATCTAAACCTTTTTTTTTAAATTCTCGTAATTCGCTCTTGTAGCACTGCGGAAATCCCCTTTTTTAGGAATAGAAACCACCCCTATCAACCCCTAAGCAGGTAAACCACCAGATTCTTGGTAAAACGAGTTCGATCAACTACATATTTATAAGGAAATATATATTTTATTCACAGATAGGCTAGCCTAAAATATATACTTTCTTATAAATATGTAGTTGATCGAACTCGTTTTACCCAGAATCTGGTGGTTTAGCCTGCTTAGGGGTTGATAGGGGTGGTTTGTACCCTTAAAAAAGTGTTATTATTTTTAAATAATTACGATTATTTAAAAAAAACATTAGGATCAGATTTACTGCCTCGCGCGTAGTTTTGATCGTTTCCGCCCACTGTGCGGCGGATGTGCACGCGTTCACACGGCATTGCCGACGCAGCGAGATATCTCATGATAAGTAAATATTCGTGTTGTTTACTTCAAAAGTGTTAGTGTTTGTAATTAGTATTACGAACAATCTTATATTTTTTCTATTTTTTTTTATGTTATAGGTGGCATACGAGCAGACGGCTCACCTGATGGTAAGTGGTCACCGTCGCCCATGGACACTTGCAACACCAGGAGTATCACAAATGCAATGCCGGCCTTTAAGGAAGGATATATATTTTCTATAGATACGTTACGTTCATAGTAATTGCGTTTAAAATCATTTTCAACTTCAAATGTTTTCTTGTGCATAGAGTAACATTTATTAGTCATCAAGACGCTCCAATTGGCCTGTTTTCAAGTCTACGCAGCGTGCGCGCTTATGACCTATCTGCTCTTATATAATACTTGTTACTCAGAAATAAAAGACCTTGAATTTAATACCTAGTCTTGCCATCAATAGTATTATTATAAAGAAAAATATATTTAAATATAAAATATGTAACAACCCTAGGTCACCCCCATATAAGCTCGTCAACCCTACGAATAGCACGCTTGCGCGGTAAAGTCGAGCTGTGAGTAACTTAACAACGCGCTCGAGTGATAGAAGAGAAATATATTAATTTTACTAAGTAGAAGATGTGTAGTGATTTCTATTGTAATTTAATAATAAATGCGTTAAGAAGTACTGCTGGCTCATTATATATATTGATTTATTTAATTCTCCACATTGAATAGCGTAATGTTTACTCAACTTCTTAACTATTTATTACGTAGACTCCGTAATTCCATGTTTGTTGTATGCAAAGCCGTAAATAGATTACCGCGAGCGCCGACGGTGAAAGTCTATCACTGTCGGCTTTGCACATTATACTGATTGATTGGTCGAGCACATACCGCTTCCACGTTCCGCGGACCATCAGGAGGGTCAACTTTAAGGCGCTCAAGCTATAATCTGGTTCCTAATCCCTTTCATATAATAAAGTATGATTTTACCTTAAAACTCGCATCGTTTTCGTACTGCTGGATCAGCTCGTTAATATTTCTCAAGAACCATTCCATGACTGGGGGCTCGCGCCATTTGCCGCATGCCAATTTCGCGTAAAGGACGTAGTGTGGGCGCTTCACGCTTAAAATATTAATTGCTCATAAATAATTATATTCAAAGTCAGCCACTTATACTGCGATTCAAACTTTGCAAAGGTAATGAAGCTAGCACCAAGAGCAGATAAAGGCATACAGATAAAGTATAGACTGCGCTTTCCCTCACCAACTGCTAAGTAAATCTGGACGTAAGTGTGTGAGAGACGAAGGAGGCCCATACTTACTTTATATACCGGTTGGTTTTTGTTTCTTTCTAGAAAGCTAAAATTGTTATGAGAGTTTTGCTTAGTCCATTTTCTATATCTATGTTATAGGTATGTTAACACCTCGAGTACACATAAAATTAACTTCACAGCTACTTGTGCTAACTTCACAGCAGCCTTTAGTCAACCCAGTTAGCTCGAAATACTATTAAGAGAATTTAATAGATATTAAAAAATCTTAATTCATTATACATTTCAATAAGAAATATTTGTGTCTCTCGGTTTAGAGAAATGTGTATTATGTTATTAAAAAAATATTTTTAACCCAGAGCCGCCAAGAACGCATTCAAGCTCAGAGTACAATACTCGTACTAGGATCATGATTGCATCAAGCATAAAGATATGATAACGGATGGTTGTATTCTTTTTTATATAATTATATATGTAGTCTACACTTTGATATAATATAAATATCAAAATAAAATTGCATAATATTAACTCACTTGGTTTGAAAAATTTCATGGCTCTGAATACTAGCACTGGCGTCGTGTTTTGCCGCCTCCAGTATGTGCGAGGTAACATTCGGGAAATCCATTATGGCATCCTTTAATAATCTGTCGACGTGGGTATAGTCGTTCGCTGAAAAATATAAGGGCGACATGATAAGCTTATATTTGAAAAATGATGATGCAATGAAACCACGCATTGTAGGAGAGCTACTGAACCCTCCGAGTAACGGTCTGTCTGTAAGGCTAGAAATTCTCATGGTGATGATTCATAGCATGCTTAGTACGGTAAGCATCGCCTAGCACTCCTCAGCCCTGCAAGTCATCAGGTCGTATATTTTTGAAAATGACAAAAAAATATATAAAAAAAAATGGGTGCGTGTACTTATGTAGGCGCGTGAGAAGTTATCCTTCTTTGGCATCGTTTAAAATTAGTTTTTAATTGCATGCAAATAATTAATTACAATAAATTAATAAAAAGTCTGGAAAAGGACACAGTCAATAAAGTTCAGTTTTAATTTGAAAAAATAAATAAATAATCAAAATATTCAATTAAAATCGCTACTGAATATAATTTATTAGAACATATGTGATTTGCACTTGTATGAAACTCAAACACGTATTCCGAATATACAAACTAGAAACATGTGGATAAATATTATAAATATGAATACCTATAACTGTTACTTTATTACAAAAAATAAAGATGTGGTTTTTGGTTCTACTACACCAATGGTCAAGAGATGGCGCTGTAGTCTCCTGAATCGCGCTTTGGTTCCGTTGTTCCAGATTAATAAATACTTTTGATAGGCCTTCACAATGCAGTCGTTAGCGCCCACTAAATAAAGATTCTATTTCTATTTTGTTGGTAGATCTTCTTAATGTGCGGTAAACACAAAAGTAACAACATGAAGTTGGTCGCTAAAGCGACCAACTTCGTGCTGTTAATATTATGTGTTACAGTGATGCGCGCGCATCTTAAAATTTCACTCTCATCATTTTTTCATAACGCGCCTAAAGAAGTATAACTTCAAAAAAACTTGTAGCTGTAAGCTTGAAATTTTTATACAATTTAGTTTATTCATTTTTAAGTATAAAAAAAATGCCAGGCGATTACGATGAGCACAAGTACCCGCCAGGCGAACCGGAAGGTGTGTAATATATACATAATAATAAACTTTATTATACATGATAATAAACTTTATTCTGTAAAGTTAAAATTTATATATGTGTTTATTTATGCGATTTAAAGTAAGTAGATAGAATGCCAAGCGTTTCTGGCTAGCACAAGTCCTTGCCAGGCGAGGGGAAAGATGCTGCGGCAGTGCGAGTAAGAGTCGTAGTATGAAAACTTACGGTATATTATTCATGCAAATTAAATGATATGAAAATAAAAGTTATGGGTAAAATATATTTTATTATTATAAGTCTTTAAATTAATTTATAAATCCTTCATCATCATCACTTTCTTTATCATCATAATAGGATCTAAGTTCCTGATTTCATCATCTAAAAAGAAACAAAGTTTTAATACATTCAGAATAACACTATATCTCCGACCTTGCGCTGAATTATATAGAATTTCATATATTTTTTGAAATGTGTATTACCTTTAATGTGTTCTTCAGCGTCACTTGACTCATTCTCAGCAGTTTATTCTTTTAGCGCATTTATATAAAAGTTTGGTTATAAACAGTTTTTTACTTTTAATTTATTTTTTACTTTTTAGTTATCGCTGGATATAATCGAGGACTTCAAAAATCTCATATTCTTAGAAAGTCCTTTCATTTGATACCCATATTGTTGGAAAGTATAAAAAGCTTTGTCTGTCTGTAGTGTCATATTATTTGCATTTAATTTAACTAGGTAAAGTTTTATTATAATTTTATTTGCGATTTGCGAGGGGAAAGATGCTATGGAAGTGCGAGTAAGCGGCTCAACGTGAACTCGGTGGTGCGATTAAGATAGTTTTTTCTAACTGGAAAATAGGTCCTATACCTGAAAAAAAACCGTCGGAGGTAACAAAGATTTATCTATGTAAAATCTTACGCAGAATTTCACTGTTTTATATTGTGAAGTATTGTAATGATTTAAATTTCAATGAATTGTGCAGTTATTCTTGTGTTTTAACCTCCTCCTGACCCAGACCACAAAAAGTTTATTGATTGTCATGAATTTTGGAAATAACATTAATTGTGATGCACATAACGTAAAAAAAATAGTAAATAAAATCTTCCCCCCCCCCCCCTAAATACTCCAAAAGAGGGGGGTGTCACCAGTGACACAATGGGTTCAAATTACATTAAAACAGGTTCTAATCAATCAACTTTTTATTTAAAAAAAAATACTTTTTCATTAAATAAATGTGAGATATTTTGGTGTTTCCGAATTATAGTTGTTTTATTGACTAACCAGTAATAATCTAGCTTTAGTTAAATCATTGTGTAGTATGAAAAGTATAAAAAAAATGGTTTGCATTAAAACATAGAAATATGTTGGAGCTTGAACACTTAACGAAAGGTTGCTGATTACATGAAGTAAGCCGACATTTTGACCGATTTTCCTTTATGAACATGGGCATGTGTTGAGCTTCTTTTAGTCGCTTGGCAACGTAGGGAATGGGTTCGACAATTCTACGTTTCCGGTTTGAAGGCAGGGGCTTCAACTTCGAATTCTTCCTCTTCTGTTTCAGTAACAGGGCTACTTCGAGGTCTATTCCGAGTGACACGTTTCTCTGGCATTAGGTATAATACCGATTCTATGCTGGTTCCCCCTCCCTGGTACAAATAAGAGTCCAGTGGAAGTCCATTAGGATTTTCCTTGGGTTTTCCTTTCACGACCTGCTTCATTTTACACTTTCCTATAAACGGAATAATTTGTTCACCTATTGCCACATTTTGGCCTCTTTGGTTTTGTCTACAACCATGCTCAATAGTGGATAGTAGAGGACCAATTTTCCAGAATTGGTCAAAAACTTTCATAGAAGATGTTATTAACTGATCGTCAACAACCTTTATGTTGCTCCTCAACTGAAAATATCTATTGGCGTCATAGCAGTAGCCACTAATAGTGCCTTGGTTTCCGCAGACTGGAACACACAAAGTTCGTATTACTTCTGGGTTTGTATCTAAAGATCTGTCAGTTCTGTGTATGCTGCAAATATTAGTACAAAGTGATATTTGTACAAAAAAATCAGGTTTGATGTATTGGTAAAAGTATTCGTAGGAAGGTTATGCACTAGTAGTTGTATCAAGTAATGGTGGACCCTCATGAAGATTGTTTGAAGGGCTTTGGAAGTTGTTTGTACGATCCCATGGCAAGGGGCGGCCTTTGGATATTTTTACGATACGAGAACTCACTACAGAGGAAAGCGGCTCCTCATCTGAATCATCCCACTCGCTACAATCAGATGATCGAGAGATTTACTCTTCAGTAACACACACAGACTCGTCTTCTTCTCCTTGAATAAAGTTTTCCTCTTTATCTTCATCAACATCTTCGATATCGGATTTATTTAAATTGAAAAATGACTCTTCGAGTTCAGCTTCTCTCAGTACTGTAAAGTTCACATTTTAAGTCACGAGTGACCAAAGTGTCACCTGTGACACCCAAATTAAAGGGTTAAAATACGGGTAAGATATATTTGTTCTCCTAATATTTATTATCATTATTGAGAGATCGAACCGTGTACACAAATAACACAAAACAATAACGAGAAACGTTATAAAAATAAGATTTACCTCTGCGGTATGTCGACATGTCGGTATTTGCACTTATTCAAAATTGCAACTAAAATTTTCGCTAGATTCAAACTCCGAATTATGAGCCATATCCACCTAGCGGTTGAGCACAAGTCGTAACCTTTCATGCCATTAACGTAGTTTGCAGTTACATCAATAAATGGCGCGAAAAAAAATTATATCTGCAAGTGTCACGGGTCTCAGGAGGATATTTAAGTAAATAGTGAGTAAAATGGAATCTGCAAACGTTGTTTGTGTGATTTGCTGCAAACAAGATATTAATGACAAAACTGTAAAATTTACAACAAGTACTTTAGACAAAAGCAAATCAAAATTAAAAATTAGAAAACAACATAATTTAAAATTTAATGACATTTCTTTGCCAGAGAAACTTAATGATAATACAGGTCATCATGTGAAGTGTTACAAAAACTTTCTAGCTGTAATGAAAAAATATTGCCAGAACAAAACATCGACTTCATCCAATGTACCAGCATCATTGGCGAGTATATTTTTATGAACTTACATATTCTTTATTAGGTTTCATCAAAGTATCGAGTTGCATTTTTTCAAATCGGTTACTTCACAGAAACATGCACACTACTAAATATATATTAATTAACGGTAATTAATTTCAAATTATAAGCAGTTTTAAGTTATGTAAATTTTATCTTACTCGCTAACTCTTACTCGCACTGCCGCAGCATCTTTCTCCTCGCCTGGCAAGGACTTGTGCTAGCCAGAAACGCCTGGCATTCTACCTACTTACTTTAAATCGCTTAAACAAACACATATATAAAGGAGAATGGGCAAATCCGTCTAGATTGCGCTTGATGCATTTATGTATCAAAAATCTTCTCCTGAATTATCATTTCATATGTGTAATTATTATTTAAATATTAAGCGGATTTTTAAAATAATAAATAAATGGCTATTAAACTGAATAAAATTCAACCACAGAATAGACCATATAACCATAGACAAAAGTTGTATCACCTAGTCGATGCTGATTTGTAAAAAAAAATCAATTATAAGTATATCTTTATTTCATCACACGACTGAAGTGAAACTTCTTTCATATTCTAGCTGTAAGAGAAAGAGAGAAAGAAAATGTGCGCGCGCACTGCCCTCTCTTGCTTATATCCCCCACTCAACTCCCGTTCGCCTTCCCGATCACACTTTTCGTAACGCTTACGTTCGCCAGCTTACTCCCCAAGGCAAGCGTGCGTAAAGAAGTTTCACTTCAAAAAGAATAAACAAAACGTTTTATTATAATTGGAGGCATAGAACAATTGTAAATAGTCTGAAACATTTTTACCAACCACCGTAAATGACTACGAAATAATGATTATTCGTTATTTCGTAGTCATTTTTTACTTTGTGGTCTTCGATGCGAGTTGTTTGACTTTTGTATGGATGGATGGATGGATTATTTTCTCCAAATCGCCTATTCAGAGGGCCTGGGTTCAAATTCCGGTGAGGCAAATGTTTGTATGATGGATACGAGCATTTTTACCAATATTATATCATGATAAATAACATTAAATTCATAAAGTTATCATCTGTAAGACCTGTGTTGTGACTATCTCACTGTACCAGGGATTGCATCTAAAAAACTAAAAGGAACTTAATGGGCTGCGCAAGAGAGGATTTTTTGTCTGCGGACTATTTTGTTCATCAAAATAGATCGCATACAAATACTTTTGTATGCAGTACTCTTAGATTAAAAATGGGAATATATTTTTGTTTATGTTATCAGTTATGTTATATATAATTACTTAATTAAATTAACTCATGGTTTGAACATTTAAAGCATTTGCATTGAAAAATAAAACATTAATAAATCGATTGTGTAGGATATCGATTCCTATAGAATCGAATCGAAATACACCATAGGCAATTGAACGTAGCTGTCAACTTCTATTTCCAGTATTAGTTGTGTTTGTTTGTTCCGAGTGACTTACTACATACAGTTTTCACTTTTGAATTGTATTTTGTGTTTTCAGTGGTATATTGTGGCAGAATAGTTCTAATGTTGAGTTGAGTAATCCTCCGTTAATAACTGTTTTTTTGGGAAAGAGAGAATAAAGGACAATCCTTTAGTGATTCTGTGACAGATATATTTGGACTCTTAGTTTATTGCAATTTTTTTGTTGACAATGGCATCAGGTGTTACTCAAGAAAATATTGGCAGTGTGTATGGATAATGTCGATTTGGATAAGTGTGTTATCAATAAATAATTAAGTATCAGTATTAAAATATTTTGCCTCATTTATTTTTGATTCCTAAGCCTTAAATAATATTATATCCATTGTTGGGTTGACAAAGCATCAAAGGTGCAGCTTGAGCGTAAAGACAATAAGTATAAATAGCACTATTTCACACATCTCAGATTTATTTGGAATAAATAGAGATAGGTAGTAGCTCACCAACGCAACAGTTTACGAATATACGCTGTCCGTTGATAGGATTTTACGAAGTGCATTCAATTTTTGTTTCACACCCAGTCCAAAATAGAAGACAAAGGTCACAATCTAATTAAATACAGTTGAAGTAGTATACATAGTAATAATTAAGTATGGTATAAATATCGAATTTAATCGAATCTAAATATGACATAACCTTAAATGCTTACGTAATTTAAATTTTCTTTAAACCACCACTTATGTTTCTCATGATATTTTGCCTACGCAATATACACCTGATTCCCTATTGTTTACTACTTATTCCAATAAGACGCAATGATAAAAAAAATTAGCCCAACTCCCATAGTAAAATGATCATTCTCCTTTCAACTTTACTTGTGCTCATCGTAAACGCCTGGCATTTTTTTTTTAACTTAAAAATGAATAAACTAAATTGTATAAAAATTTTAAGCTTACAGCAACAAGTTTTTTTTAAATATTTTTTTGGCACTTTCAATACGGCTTGATGACGTGCAGGGCTGAGGAGTGCCAGGCGATGCTTACCGGACTAAACATGCTATGACTCATCACCATAAGAATTTCTAGCCTTACAGAGAGACCGTTACTCGGAGGGTTCAGTAGCTCTTGGGCTAGCAGTACGAGACTGAATTTTATTCACTGTGCACAAAATACCCAAAAATTAAATGTCAATAAAAATACCGCCATTAACTAGTTGACTTAAACAAGGCCTTAGCTGATATTTACCAACGATTACAGGTCACAGAACCCTGCTTACATAAAAGATTGAAAAATCAAGCAGATTAATGTTTAAAATAAAAATATAAACACATCTAAAATCGCCTTTGCTGCACCTTTTAATTGAAATGGGTGAGTGAAGCTATAATAACAACAAGTTTAGAGTTGTAATTAACGAACAAGCCTTACAGTAGTCGCGTATGATGTGTAACTTTTGAAACCTCACCTTATATTAGTAAAAAAAGAAATAAACAAAAGGAATAAGCCATTTGAACATTATGTTCTAAAATCAAATCAAATAGCGCGCGCTTTCGTGACTTTCTGTTACACACTTCCATCCCATTTCAAGAAATCACTCCCACGAATTGCAGGAAAGCGAGAGGAAACATGTTACACATCAAAAACGATAACATACTCACATTTACTCTTCTTTGCGAGGTGAAAATGTGCCAAGGCGTAGGAATACTTTATATTGAACAGATAATTCGCATCCCTTTCCTTGCTCCAATAGTCGATCACGTCTACCAGCCATTTGTGTTCTCTAGCCCTCAACGCGAGCACATCTATGACGTATATAACAGCCAATGGGTCTGTAGGATCCAGGTTCAATAAAAGCTTTGCCAATTCCAGTGCAGTGCGGTGGCAAGCTTTGTTAGTCAGCATGTATAGATATTTCAGAACAACCACGAAAAAGGGTCGATTTTCCATGTATTTGTACTCGAGCCGAACGGTTTGCTGCAACCAATATTTCTATTATCATAACTTGAAAAACAACGCAGTTCTATAATTACGAAACTATATTATTATCTCATTGCAAACAGAGTTTTTGTCTAGACTTTTTAATCCAGCAGTTTAATGCTTAAAACTACAATACAATAAACCTCCCTGCAAATTGATATAATACCGAATTATATGTTTACAATAATGTGCTTACGTCAGTCAAATTGAAATATGGATGCGCAGCATGTTGCAAATAAGTTATAACTTGTTCAAGTATGGAATTGGCTACCGAATATTCCTCCGCGCGGAACATGTAGTCCGCAGTCTGAAAAAAAAAACTTAATTAAATCTTATTTTGCTGTCAACTCTTTACGAATTCGGACTCTTTATAATAATAATAATAATATCATTTATTGGCAGACAACATAGATCCATATGTTAGTATACAATATAACTTACAACTAAGTGTTAGTAGCCTATAATAAGTATTTACATATTCAAAATATTTATGCCTTTTCAATAGGTCATGTACCTTAGAGGCGCTCCGCGCGAGCGACAGCAAGAAGAATAATTAACTCCTATTTCAGTCATCATACGCACGGAATGCCTCCAAAATGGTGCATGCGGATCCCCTGCCACGGTCTCCAGAATGGTGTTGTTACTGCTCCGCACTCTACACATCAGGGACGCAACTTTTTTCCGCAAGACGGCATGAAAACCATCAGTCCGAGTTTCAGTAAACATTCCGGAGGCACTACAGAAGCGGGGCAGTCCCAACATCCATGGATTTTTTCATATATTTGGACCACAAACTTCCCACGTACATACCCTGACAATAGGCTTTGAATAAGGTTATCTTGACCTGATCCGAACAGCGAGCGAATCTTCGAGCCAGCATGTTTCCTCGAATCGCCATCGCCCTTCGCTCTCTCTCAATGTCAAGGTCGTCTTTAAGGTCGTCGGCAATGATATGACCAAGGTATTTAAATTGATAGACCCGTTTTAGTGGTGATCCATTCAAGGTGATAGGAGAGGTGACATCCCGACATTTGCCTGCGGCCTTAAAGATCATGTATTCTTGTTTTCATTGTAAACAAGACCATGCGACGTAGCATAGGTCTCACACACTTTTAACAGCTCCCTAATAGCTCCCACTGTCGGGCTCAGCAGCACCATATCATCCGCGTAGCTGATGTTATTTATATTAACACCCCCTACCCGGCAACCGACCCGCATGCTGCTAAGCTCCACAATGAGATCATAGACATATAGATTGAAGAGCTTCGGAGACGTCAACCGGGTGGGTTGACGTCTCACTCCACATTCCAACCCATACGTTTTAGAGAGACTGTTCGACCATTTTACATTGTTGGTTTGGTTCAAGTACCAATACCTAAATATGTTGACCACCTCAGCCGGAATACCCCTGTCTCCCATCTTTCTCCAGAGCACATCGTAGGAAACGAGATCGAAGGCACTGGAGAGATCCAAGAAACAGGCGTACACCGGCGTTCTCCGGTCTGTGTAATACTGGACAGTATGCTTGAGACTCAGTATAGCGCTTTCGGTTGATAGTCCGGTTCTAAAACCGAACTGCGCGTCATGTAAATTTAGGTGATTTTGCAAACATGAGTCAATCAAACTGTCCAACACTTTAGCGACCGTAGTAGCCAACGATATTGGGCGGTAATTTCCCTTATTAGAAATATCTCCCGTCTTGTTTTTGACAATAGGGACTACAATCGTTTTCATTAAATCGGTCGGCAGGTATGAGTGACTAATGCATAGATTAAAAAACAAAGCCAGAACCCTCGGCAAGTGTAACCCTGCATATTTCAGGTGCTCAATACTAAGCCCATCATGCACAGGAGATTTGCCTCTGCTCATTCCGCTAATTACACTTTCCACCTGCTTAGCAGTGAATCTTAGCAGTGACTCCTCCCTGCGCACGCTGAGCCCAGCTCCAGATACTATGGACCCCGGACCTATCGGAGACCGCACCTTAAAGTGTTCCATAAACAAATTTGCAATCTCTTCTGGGTTATTTTTGCCATCGATACAAGCAGAAAGACCAGGCCTAACATCCATTTTTCCAGTAGATCTCCAAAAATTACGAAACTTTTTATCATATCTCAGCTTTGCAATTTGGTCCATTTTGATTTGCTCTTGATTATTTAAGCACCCTTTCAGCCGAACCTTAAGATCTTACGAGATTCACACATCCGTTCATAGAATTCACCAGGTGAAGGACGGTTATGCAAAACCCAGACCTGAAAGTTAAGCCTTGCCTTTCGGTGAGCTTCACGCACATGCAGATTCCACCCACACAGAATTTTACGTGTCCGAGTTCTCTTTTGAACCTGCTTTCTCGTCTGAATTGCTGCGTCTCTCAAAATATTAATAATTTTGTGGTAAAGGTTGTCCAAAACAATTTTATGACTATTTAAAGTACATGAACCTCAGCCGCACTCGGCAAAAACCGGTGGAAAATCAACATTTCGTAAACTATTATTACACAGGTCATGATAACTACTTATCTGATTTTCATCCCTATCACCCCAAATTACACCACTGCGCGGTATTTCACATGTTATTTGCTTAGGTCTTATTGTATTTATATTACATTCAAGAAAAATAGGCAGATGATCCGAAATATACACATCTTCCAGTATACCTACATTCAAGACAGTTTGCATAGCTGAAAGGGAGACCACACTATAGTCCAGCCAACTCCTTGTCCCGTAGAACTGATCTACAAATGTATAAGAGTTAGGCGGCAGACTTTCGTCTGCACAGACCCAAGATTGGTCTCTACAGTAGTTATTTAATTCATTGTAGAAAAGTCCATTAGGATGAGCATTAAAATCACCTAATAAAAATACAGTTTCAACGCCACAGTCTGATACAATTGCACTTATTTCACTTAGGACTTCAGTGAAAATGGGTAGGTTATCATTTGATTTAGTTGGCATGTACACAGAAAATACTAATAAAGTACGGCCACCCACAGTACACTTAATAGCTAATAGCACTTTATAGGTTCTCCGCTACAGGCTCTCTATCTGAGGATCCTGAAAGCGCAAAAGATTAGCACGTTCGATTCGGCTGCGATTGTTAAAGTTAAGCAACGTTCGCATTGCTCGGTCATTGGATTTACTATCTCGAACTCCTCCGTGCTTTGGAAGAAACGTTAAGCTGTTGGTCCCGGCTGCATCTGCAGTCGAAGCACCCACCAATCCGCACTGCGCCCGCGTGGTAGGTCATGGCCAATCTCCCTATTCCATCCATAGGGAAGACCTGTGTCATCGACCAGCAGTAGGGATATTAACAGGCAGATGATGACGATGACTTGTTATCTCTCCTACCTTGCGACCACGGAGCTTGTAAAGGGTCCGAAACGTCAAGACCAATCCTACATATTATTATAAATGTGAAGTTTGTATGTTTGGTACTGAATCACACAAAAACGGCTGAACGGATTTTGATGAAATTTGGCACACATAAAGTTTATTACCTGGATTGAGACAAAGTGATATCCTCAAGCAGGTAGGGATGTACAATGAAAAATGTTGTGTAATGGGTAGAAAAAAAAATCGGTCATCTGATACATTTTTTTTTAACGGTGCCCGAGAGATGTAACTCCCGCAACCATGCAGCCTCTTTCCTTGTCGAGTGCCTACGGGTGGAAATCATATTAAAAAGGATGATATATAAATTCAAATAATAGAATTCGAATACGTTTCGTTTCAATTCAATATTTCCAGATAGAAATCGGGCACAGACGCGAATTGTTGAGATTAATGTAATCCTAATACTATTCCGAAAATCTATAAAATATAGCTAAAAGTTCGATAATTCAGTATTTTATTTCGTAGAGTTGCGCCTCCCAGGATTCGTTTCTGGAATCCTTACAGTACTTTATATCCCGATTAAATTTTAGGTTCCTGAGGGATTCTCAAATAAATAAAGTTATCGCGGACGAAGATGCAAGCGACCGGTAGTGAAAAATAATAAAAACACATTTAAAACTCGTTCAAACAATGTTTTATTGATTGGTAGAGACTTAATATTACCTTGTAGACATTTTAAAGCATAGAAAACTCTTTCATTTATCTTGTCAATATCAATTTAATGTTCACTGATATGTTTTTGTCACCCTTACATAAAACCAGCCAAATATAGTACTTAATAAAACTGGATTGGTCATTTTTCACATCAAAACTGCAAGTAGCGTTAATTTTTTTTAAGGAAGTAAGTATTTCTTTTTTCTTACCTCAAGCAGTGCCTCAATGTGGATGTTCATACGTGGCTCTTGTAGTGGTACAAAGTCTTCGGGGTTCATAATATCGAGGAAATTCGAATGCATCTTCTGATACTCGCGACTGTGATTGTAGACAAAGTACGAATAACCATTCTCTTTTTTAAACAGAGACATTGACAAACCTACGGAAAAGATAACGTTACAGTAATTAATGCGATTGATAACAACCTACAAGAAAACTGATCGAATAAAAAGATAGGAACGACATGATTAAAAAAATAAACTAACTTCGAGGTATAAATGTAATTAAAAATTTATTGGTTGGGAATTGGTTTTTGGAGTTAACGCCAACAATTAATTTTTTCTATGAATAGTTATTACTGACACGCACTAAACTTTCAAAATTCATAAGTAAAACTCATACTCAATTGGTAAAAACGATTTTATACGAGTAAATCAATTTTTAAAAAGAGTAGTCTGAAAAGTAAATATTACGTACATAGGAGAATGCCCGATATCGTTCAAGTTTTGTAACACGTTAAGCCAGCTATACTCTAAGTGTGTTCCGCGGAACCCTAGGGTTCCGTGATACCTCTGTCGGGGTTCCGCAAGAATTTAGAAATAAAAAAATCAAAACACCTCTCTCTGGTCGCTCCGCGGCTGTGCGGACTCCGCGGCCGCGCGGAGACAAAACGCTATGAATGTTATTTATTTATTTATTTGTATTTGTATAAGCTTGTGTTACATTAGCTGGTACAATATCTCATAAGTTTGGTCTCAACAATTTTATACTTGTACAACGCGTTCGCTCTAAGTTTGCCGGTCTGTGGAATGCGCGTACCCTCCCCCACGTGACAACAAAACTTATAATGTGTCATAGTTTTACCCAAATATCTAACGTACACAATTTTTATTGTTACAATTAAATAAAAAATTTCGAACGTCATACACTCATACCTATCGCCAGCGGCAAACTTAAAACGAGCGGGTAGTATACTTGTAAGCGCTCAGTCTCTTTGATAAAAGCCGCCTCTGAATTAGACGCTATAGTTGTCAACTAGCGACTTTCGTCTCTAACTTCAAAGGATAAAGTCGATATTGTTTACAACGCTATTTTTAAATTTCTGTTTTTATTTTTGCTTTTTGTTTATCAAAGGTGCCGACTCGAGTATTTTCGAGAATATTTGAGATCGAGTCTAGGACTAAGTATAAAAGCGGCGATCGCGCGTTGGCGTCGTCAGTTGATGATTAGCGTTCGGAGCGATAAGTTACTACCTACTTACAAGCTCGCTAGCGAGAAACTGGTGTTCATTGTTTTACTGCCTGCTGTATTCTGTTGTCTCAGTTTTATACATTTCTTCCCTGTAGGTTCTAAATTTAGTCTCTTATACGCAGTAACGATTGTGCATTATTTAAACCCCACTATCCTGACTTGTAACATTATAAATAAAGAAGAATGGAACGTTGGCTTAAAGGTGTTAAACGTGTTCCAACAACATCTTCTAATGACGCTGAATGTTCAAAAGCAATGCGCGCGGAGAATTTAGCAATCACCGATCCAGAAGATGATGCCACGAGTGCCACGACGTCAAGCTCGACGGTTTCAAAGACGAAAAAAAGGAAGTATGATGAATCTTATATCAGTTTCGGATTTGTTGATTCCAACGGCTCACCTCTCTGCATGCTCTGTAGTAAACTGCTTCCTAATAGTTCCATGGCACCTGCCAAATTGCGTCGACATTTAGAAACCGTACACCCCGAGACTAAAGACAAGAATAAAGAATTTTTTGTTCGCAAAAAAGATCAGTTATTAGAAAGTCAAAAAAATATGATGCATGTAACACAAACTACCAACGAAAAGGCCACGGAGGCATCATACTTAGTTAGCTATCGCATTGCACAAGCAGGTGAAGCGCACACTATCGCTGAGAAATTAATAAAACCATGTGTATTAGACATAACAAAATGTATGCTTGATGAAAAATCTGCAAAGCATCTTTCTACTGTTCCGCTATCAAACGATACTGTTTCACGACGAATCCATGATCTGGCAAGCTACGTCAAACAAGAACTAGTTACACGTCTACAAAATACACGATTCGCTTTGCAAATGGACGAGTCGACTGATGTCGCTGGTTTGGCTATCCTGCTGGTTATTGTGAGATATCCATATAAAAGTTCTTTTGAAGAAGACATGCTTATGTGTTCATCGCTGCTTACAAACACTACCGGGGAAGAAATTTTTAATAAAATAAATATATTTTTTGAAGAACATAATCTCAGTTGGAACAATTGCATTGACATTTGTACAGATGGGGCCAAGGCGATGACAGGTAAAACAGCAGGAGCAGTGTCACGAATGAAAAATAAAGCGCCTAATTGTAGTTCCAGTCATTGTATTCTGCATAGACAAGCACTTGCGATGAAGCAAATGCCGTCTAATCTAAAATTAGTTATGGATGAAGCGGTAAAAATAATTAATTTTATCAAATCACGACCACTACAATCCCGATTGTTCTCATTATTGTGTGAAGATTATGGCAGCAAACATAAAACACTGCTGCTCCATACAGAAGTGCGATGGCTGTCTCGGGGAAAAACTTTAACAAGGCTATTTGAACTTAGAGCCGAGTTACAAATGTTTCTTTCAGCAGATACTTCTTTTAATTTGAAGGACCGTTTGTATGATAAAACTTGGTTGTTCCGATTGTCTTTTATGGCGGATATCTTTCAAAAACTTAACGAATTAAATTTATCATTGCAAGGTAAACAGACAACAGTGTTTCAGGCCTATAATAAAATAACTACTTTTAAAAGAAAATTAGATTTTTGGATCATTTGCATTGGTAAGAAAGAAATAGAAAGTTTTACGTTACTCACTGAGTTTGTTAGCGAAAACGACTCAGAAATGTTTGAAGATAATGTGTTTGAAGAATTGGTCCAATATCTCAGTTCGATGCGCGCATCTTTTGAAAAGTATTTTCCCGAAGAACACAATACAAAAATTAAAGTGAACTCCTGGATTCATAATCCTTTTTTACCCAACTTGGAAAAGCCTGAAAACATGTCAAATGAGATATATGAATCTCTTTTAGAAATGTCATCAGACACAAGTATGGAGTCATTGTTCAAAACGACGCCTCTTAATGATTTTTGGTGCAGAATCCAAGATGAATATGCAATGCTTGGCCAAATGGCTCTGGATATTCTTCTCCCGTTCCCAACTACATATTTGTGCGAAACAGGATTCTCTACCTACGCAGCCACGAAAACAAAATATCGCAATAGACTGGACGCCGAAGCTGATATGAGACTCCAACTTTCTTCCATCAAACCTGATATCAAGCAATTGATGAAAAATAAAAAACAGTTTCATACCTCCCACTAGTTAGATTTTTTCTTTTTTAATGTTTTCTATTATTGTCCTTACCAAGTGGTGAAGTAAATAATAATTAGTAACGGATACATTGTACTTTTATTATGCTGATTAATATAGAATACACTTATAAAAATAATTGTTTTATTGTAGGGTTCCATCAAGTATTTTGCTTCCCAAAAGGGTTCCGTCATTTAAAAAGTTTGAGAACCACTGCGTTAAGCCATATCGCAAATGAAAGTTCTTCTAAAATACTAATTTTATTTGTATGGCAGTATTTTTCTAACTCGTGCAAGTAAGAAGATATAAGCAGAGCTAAACGACAAAGTGCTGAACTCCCACAGCATTACCATTAGTACAGTCAATCTGTAGGTTGAGTGGTGAAAAAAAAACCTAAAGGGTAAGTCTTGTTTTTTCTGTTGCCAAATGACGTCAGTAAGCCACCTTGGCGATGGGCATGTTCAACTCGTAGGCGTTTTTTGAAAAACTCAAAAAAACCGTCAAAAATTTTTTGAAACGCATTTTTCTTGTTTTGTATGCATTTTAGAAACTATTTTTTTCACCATAATTGTAGAGGGCGTTGAGTACTACAATTTATATCATTGTTGCAATCTCGTACAACAAAAAATGCGCATTGTAGGTGGCGCTAAAGTCTCAAAAAAGGGTTTTTTCACTTTTTCACCCTAAAAATATCATTTTAATGGAAAACTTTTAAATGGCAAAGTTGTTTCGTACATAATTACCAACAACTTTTGTATAAACATTTTTTTTGTATTACTTACCGTTTTCAAGTTATAAATTGCGCAGGTATGAAAAATCCAATAGAGCGGTTTTGGGCAGTTCAAGTACACATTGGCAGTGCACATTTCAATGTACGTTTTTACTATTTTTTTTTTCAATCATGAAAAAAAATAAAAATAAAACTACTTTTTTTCATTTATTTTTTGCAACTTCACGCCGTGCAGTAATAGGCAACTTAGGCCACAAGTATCGTATACTATTTTTTTGAGGGATGCGATTAGTATTTTGAAAGTAAAATTCATGTATTGCAATCTAATTACCTTTTTTTATAAGTGTTGAGCCCATACTATTTTTTATGTACCAAGATCTCAAAACAAACACAAAATGGCGAGACATCTGTCATTTTGACAATAGCACCAACTTTTTGAATTTATTCGTACTGCCCGGTCCAGCGATAAATTCAAGCTATCTCAAACACTGACTTATTACATGGACTACGAACCGTCCGGCATTATTAATAATGACCAGGCAATGTGATAAATAGGTGAGTTTAGATTGTAATTAATCACTTGGTCCGATACGGCTGGGCATTATTGATACTGCCCTGGCATTATGAATACTGCCCGCATTAATCACTTGCCCCATAACATACGCACCAGTCTAGTCCTCTATAAGGAATTTTATTCCTCGCGTACTCACCACTTTTCTGGAAATGGTAGTTTTCTGGAGTAGTGACTATCATATCCCTTCTGTACTTGGTGACATTGTGAGGTCTGCATTTTCTGAAAGCATATTGTTACATAAAAATGTTGTTTAATTAAACAAAGCGTACAAAGTTAAATTTTGAATGTGTTTGTTGACACAAAGTACATTCATTACACGGGAGTTAAGAAACTGACGCGTTTATGTATTGTTCTGAGTCATAGGGCTAGCGCGCACTGGCACTGGTTTGTCGCCATGACTTTAAAGTTTTTGTCATTGTCACGTCATGTTTCCAAGTTCAGTGCGCGCACGCGCAAATACTTGAGTAGGTACTCGTACTTTTTCTTGTGTCGACAAGTAACCCAAATTTGGCTAAATCCTATTCTATTTATATACTCCCTTAATTTAATTTTTAAATTATTATTCTCTTTTAGAATTCTCTTTTATTGCTTAGTGAGTCTTGGGGCTAGCGCGTACGGGTTACTTTTGTCGCCGTGACTTTAAAGTTTTTGACATCGTCACGTCACATTTCTAAGGTGGAGTGAACTTTCCGTTATGGATTTCGAAGTGACGATCGTTGCCTGTGAACTCATCAATTTCTGAAGAAGAAAAAGCGAAACGAATACTGCTGGTACTTTTTCTTGTGGCCACAAGTTATCCCAAACATTGCTTAATATTATTCTACTTATCTCTTCCCATAATTTAATTTTTAAATAAATATCATCATACTCTTTCAATTGTTATATAGATCGCTGGTCTCTTTTCGCACATAATTAGGTCATTATCAATAGCGTCTTCCGGGGTGTCAAGGATGACGACATTTTGCGTGCATTAAAGTCAAGAAGCGAAATGTAAATGCGAACAATCGACGCTGAGAGTGACAATTTTATCGCTCGTGCGCGCGCATCTATGAAAATCTAACAGCGCGGTGACAGTTTCGTCATGGGCTTATTCGCCGCTCGGTGAACATAAATGTCACCCAGTTATCACGTCGTAACATGAGCGCATCTTCATACATATCCACGGACTTGATAAGAGTTACGAAACAGTCACGGTGAAGCTAAGGTAACCCGTGTGAGCTATCTCTTTTATAACAAGTATTAAGAAACTAAAGACTTTATAGAAAACCAAAAAGGCATGCAGATACTTACTTTGCTTTCCCATCTTCGTCGAGTGTTTCGGAGCCGAAGATTTTTTTTATTTCGTTGTGGTAATTCAAATGCCTGGACTGTACGGATAGGAGCTGTTTCACCGGGTCTAGTGTCTTCTCTACAGGCGTGGCCGGTAACGGCGATGCTGGCGGGGGTGTTCCGAGCATAGCATTCACTTCCAATACTGACCTATCTACTTCATCCAACTGCAAATTGTAATAAGTGATACAACAACTAACATAAATATGTTAAAAACATACACGGACAATTTAGATTTTTTTCAGCAAAAGCTCATTAAGTTTTTTTTACAATAGCTTGACGTGCTTTATGAAGCATGGAGAAGCTTAAGATAAACAATTTTGGTATATCGTATGATTGATGGATCCAATGGGAAAGTTGCATAATTTCCACAAACGCAGACCGCATACGAAAACAGCATCTATTGCAACGTCCAATAAAATAATTTCTAATTAAAATTAGCTTAAGAATCTCTGAATACTAAGTACTTCAAAACTTGGTCAAAAGTTATTACTATGATAGCAGCCAAACAAACTATTTAATCTTCATAGTATAAATGGAAAAATAAACATGCCTCAACGCCTTCAGGGACTACTGGATTCGTTTTAGGTTTCCTTTGGCGTTTTTTCTTTTTCTTCTTCTTTTCCTGTACAACTTCCTCTATTTCTTCGATTGTGTCTTCAATATTTTGTATGTCATTATCATCACTACCAGAAGGTGAGCTTATTTCCAACTAAAAAAAATTCAATGTCATAAGAATGTCATTATAAGATCACATTTTGATTTACTGCCATGTGACACGAGTAATGTTGTTCCAGTACAGGGAATTGGGGGTTCGAACATTAACGCACGATTTTTCAGATTAAATGAAATAAATATTCTTCATTTAGTTTAGGCTCTTACAAGCACATGTAAAAGTAGAAAGTGTTTCCCGCCGTAGATTGATTCACTAATCTACGGCGGGAAACCTTGTACTGAGAATAACCAGCAAGGAACTCAGCAAAGGCTGTTTTTTTCAAACTGTATTATCAAGAAACAGAAATGTCAAATTTAGCTATCTTTCTTCATAATATCTAGTTGAGTGAATGGATAATAGGTTGAACATTCCATAATAAATCAATAAAAAGCCTATTCAACATTTACACAATAGAATTGTTAAAATGCATGCTAAATTACAGGCATGAATATATAGTCTGATCAGCCCCCCAACAGCATGCGCTGCTTTAAGCGGGAGCACGGCGCGTGTTTTAAATGGAATTTAGTTTTTTTGATGTGTCATAACATTCATTATATACTAGTGGCCCGCCCTCGCTTGGCTTCGGTGTAGAGTTATAGTATAGACCATAATTTTTGTTCTCAGGCTTGTAATGTCTTTCTTCATATAATAATAAACATTCAATGAAAATTTATTTCATTGATAGTGAAAATTTTGATGCGTTTGTTTAGGACCCGTTGTAACGAATGCACCATTGCTCTTCATTTAAAAAAAATATACTATTCCACACCTTGGTTTACATTATTAAAGATATTCATACGGAACTTGTAACCTTTGTGAAAATACTCTAGTCATTTTATATTGATACTAAACCCCTATTTCATAGCCTATGTTATCAGGGATAATGTAGGATTCTAAATGTTGGGCTGTTCAAGTATTACGTAAGCACTATAGGGGGGCAGGGGGGTCATTGCTTTGCTTATTTTTGATGACGTGGGGGGTCGAGATGGTGATTACGTCAGCATCATGGACTAAGCCTATTTAAGTACTACTGCTCATGAAGCTCATGAAAACTTATCAGTCAATAAAAAAAACAGAATACATTAAAGAAAAAATGCATATAGGTACCAATGTTTACGTAAGCATGAGGGGGAGGGGTAAGACGTTTGCTGACAAGGGGGAGGAGGGGGTAAATAATTGTAATAAATCTGCTTACGTAATACTTGAATGGCCCCTGTGAAGGGAATTATTCAAATCGGTCCAGTAGTTTCGGAGCCTATTTAATACAAACAAACATACTAACAAACAATCAAATCTTTCTTCTTTATAATATTGGTGAACACAACAAATTTCAAAGCGAGTGACGCGGACGCGGGGGCGCGTCCTCTGAACGAGTTTATTTATACGTAGTCATAACCATTTGGGGTTTTTGTTTCAAAAATCAATAACCCCTTGCCATAGCTGTTAAAATGTCCAGCAATCAACAAGTGTAAGTGTATAATAACTGTAATAGGATGGAAGTATTCAATTCATCACTAACTATGGAAGATTGGCTTTAATACATTTGCATAGATGCAGCATGATTGATTAAACAATACCCTAATTTTCAGGGGTCCTACACAAAACTGCTATGCGATGTCCAATCGCAGGAACTTGTGTTGCAAATTCGTACGGCAAAGCTTTGCTTAGGGTAACCATACCTTTAACTGTAGTTAGCCGTATTGGACGTGTTTTAGTAATAGTGACATGGATCGTAAAAATATTGTTACGCTATTGTTAAATCGATATATAGAAGAAAAACAATATTTTGGGTTCATTAATTAATTACGATTATGAGTTTGAATTTGGGCAACACTAATTATGAATGCTGATGGGAGCTATTTTACTCAAAAATACTTGCAGGTTTGAGAACAGAAGATTTTTATTTATTATTTTAGAATGAGCTTCATTTGAAGAACTTTTGAATTTATTTGAAGTCTCAGAGCGGACTGAAATCGTTTCACCAAGTGTGACGATACGACGTAATATCTCAGAATTGTGCGATGCGAATCAGCATATATATTTTGTAAAATGCTATCTCAATTACGATCTTATTTATTCGGATTTCTCACAAATGTCAAATATCAAATACTGGCTGCTTCTACAGACATACCGACATTTTGGCGTGTAATGGCGTACGAGTACATATGTTTCTAATATAACGAAATTTTTCTGATGATGCAAAATACCAGTCTATAGACACAGACTATGGTGGCCGCTAGGTTTGCAACGATATATCGGAATATCGATAATATCGAGACAAAAATATCGATATTTGAAATTCACTGATATCGATAATATCGAAATCGGAAATTCCAAAATATCGATATTTCGTAGACTAAATTTGAACACAATAATATCAATTAATTTACCTGCTATGACTTTCTAAATTGAATAATATCGAAATAACTATTGCTTTGAAATGGCAAGAGCTTATAGATGTATTAATAAAATCTTGAACCCCAAGAAATATACTAAACTGGTGTGGATTCTGGCATGATTCTCTAAACCTAAAATTAAATTTGACAACAGTGTATCCTTGTCATTCTATATACAGAATGAAAAGGAGAGACTGATGTTAAATTTAGTGTCCGTGATGCTAGCGTACCCACGATCAATATACGGTTTTTCGTTATGCCATTAAATACTGCGTAAATAGTGCCAAATTAGTGTAAAAATAAAAAAAAATAATGCCTCTTTAATTTAAGAAATACATACCATTTTTACTGTGTACGCTACCATGACGTCAAGCTAGCTTACCCATGGCCGACCCCAAGAACGGCATATATTTAAGCAACGAAATGACACACAAAAATAGTTCGCAAATAGTGCCCTGGCTTTACAAAATTTCATAATCAATACTCATAAAGGACCAAAGATATTGAACTAAACATTCTTAGCTGGCGTCAACCTGGCGTACCCATAATAGTTCTCATAGAAAATGAACTTTTCTCGTTATCAAGACTATATGTATAAATAGTGTGTCAAATAGTGCCTCTAACAGTAAAAGTATTTTATGTTAATTCGCAGTAAAACAATATTAAAAAAGCAATTAAATTATTTTTATATATGAAGTACAGTCATGTACAGAAGTGATAATATTTTCGTAGTATAGTAGGTAAGTAAGGTACTTAGTAGGTAGGTTGAAATTCTTATATGAATTTATGATTGGTGAATTCGAATTGAAATAAAATGTCTTTTTATAAAAAGTACCTATTTATTTTAGTAAAAATACATATATAGATAATCTCTTAGTGCATAAATTATTTTTGTGTGCAACTGTACTACAATACATCTGTTCCTAGAATTTAACATCCTCTTTATGTATTGTTGTGATGCGCATTCACATAAAATACTTTTACTGTTAGAGGCACTATTTGACATATAGAATTGATAACGAGAAAAGTTCATTTTCTATGAGAACTATTATGGGTACGCCAGGTTGACGCCAGCTAAGAATGTTTAGTTCAATATCTTTGGTCCTTTAAGGGTATTGATTATGAAATTTTGTAAAGCCAGGGCACTATTTGCGAACTATTTTTGTGTCAATTTCGTTGCTTAAATATATGCCGTTCTTGGGGTCGGCCATGGGTACGCTAGCTTGACGTCATGGTAGCGTACACAGTAAAAATGGTCTTTATTTCTTAAATTAAAGAGGCACTTTTTTTTTTATTTTTACACTAATTTGGCACTATTTACGCAGTATTTAATGGCATAACGAAAAACCGTATATTGATCGTGGGTACGCTATCATCACGGACACTAAATTTAGTTTTAAGTTTAGATAATCATGCCAGAATCGACACCAACGTATATAGGTATAATCGTTTACCTAATGGTAACTCATGCACTTAAGAGCCCTATTACAAATCTGCACTCTGCGAGAATGGGTATTTGAAGCGTTCCCGACAACTCATTGAAGGTCAGTTTACAATACTGTGTTGAACCTACGACCAAGCGATTTTGATACTTTTTTCCAAGTTTTGTATATTTTTAGTATTTCTATGTAGTAATTCGTTATCGCTATACCCGCACATTTTTAGAGTGCCATGGAGGTTCTCATATGTGAATAAACAGATTAAATGAAGATGATACCATAAATAAGACAGATGATATTTGTTCAAAACAAATTTATTTTTTATGTTTTTCGTTTTAGATTAAAATAAAAGATTAGATATTTATTATTATTTATATATTATTATAGATATATATTACTATTATGTTTGATTATTTACATGACAGTATAAAACACCCTAAGTCAGAATTACCTATTTACTAAATTTCAATCAAATCGATCTAATGGTTTTTGTGTGAAAAAGCAACAGTCATGAGCTTATTTCAGATTCATCATATTATAACCTGCCCGCTGAGAGAATGCGTTCTTGACATTTGTCAGTTAGTCATATTATAGCGGTATATTACTCTTAGCCACCGCGGTATCCTGCTATGAGTTGACCAATAGGAATACGCTGTTACGAGTAACTCACAGATGTCAGAAATGTACTCCCTCAAAAATAAAACGTTTTTCTTGTAACGAATCAAACTCTAACTCAATATCATTTATTCAGTCTAGGCTGTTACAAGTATTTGTGAATGACGAAATGCTATGCCACCGGTTCGCAAATCTACGGCGGGAGACCTTGTACTGAGAAGAACCGGCAAGAAACTCAGCAAGGGCTCTTTTTCTCCCTGCCATTATATACAAAGCCGTCAAATTTAAAAATGACTTCAATATGAGATAATTCATGAAGTCATTTTCCGTTACAAACACAAAATATATAAAAAAATACTAACACTTTAAAAATACTTATTTAACACATACTTTAAGAACGCCGTGTAGGACACTTAAGACATAATAAAAAAGTACGATTACAGTCAAATATAACGAAATCCTTATCAGCCGACGGACGTCCACTGCTGGGCATAGGCCTCAAGGGATTTCCATAAGAAACGATCCTGCGCTCTCCGCATCCAGTAGG